TAATTTTGGCTAAATTGAAGTGGATTGCTGAGTGCTGTCCTGGGAGCATGGAAGAATGATCACCGGGGGCAGTACCACAACATCAGAATGGAATCTTGCCAGTTACAAATTTTCCAGGCCTCAAACTTTCCAAGGAGGCCTGGGACAAAACACCAGGCTCTGCAGCTCTTCCAGAGTTTGGTATTGGTATCTTTCAGGTATTGTTGCCAAACATTTAATTCTCTGAAAGTCTGGAACATCTGGATGTGAGTGGTGGTTTTTCTCATGTCTCTGTTTCTCAGTCCAAGCCTTCCACATAATTCTAGGATTTCTAGAAGGCTCCAGCATTGAGGGAAGGAGGGTGAGTGGTCAGAAGAGATACTTCCTGAAGAGATATTTTCTGAATTAGAACGATTCTCTCTGGATGGAGAAAGGACAGCATTAAAGGAAGGAAAGTTTAGACAGGGACAGGGAAAAAAACAAAAGGCCTCCGGAGAACAGAGAACAAGAAGTAAAGAAGGAGGTTTGTTCTGTGTTAAATAAAAATGTCAGTGCAGCCCCAGCAGGGGACCTCACAGGCAGTTGTCATCAGAATGTTGAAGCTGGGGGATTTCCAGTGAATCCAGGCACTCCCTCCACCCCCCCCCAAGGTTACCACATTCTACTTTTTTCCGCCCATGAACACATTTGAGCTTTGCTTCTAAATATGAGACAAGAGCAATAGTGATGTGTTGACCTCCGTAAATGGACTAGCAAAACAAAACAAAAATGGAAGTCAAGATGATTCCACCTTTGGCCGAGAAGGCAGGGGGTAGCTTTTTAAAAAGAAAAAGGAAAAAAAACCAAAACTGTTAGTCATAAACTCAAGCATTGGGATGTGGTCAGGAATTAACAGAGCAGGGACAGGGGAGATGATTCAGTGGGCTAAGCACTTGTTGCATAAGCAGTGAAGCTGAGTTCGAATCCACAATACCCCTAGAAAAAGCCTGGTGTAGTGGTATTGTCTCTAACTACAGCACTGAAGGTGATGGGAGACAGGCAGAATCTAACCAGCCAGTCTAGTCAGAGCATCAAGTTCCAGGTTTAGTGAGGGACCCTGTCTCAAAGCCTGGTCTACATAATAAAATAAAATAAAATAAAATAAAATAAAATAAAATAAAAAAATAAAATAGATAGAAGGCAATAGAGAATTACAACCATAAGTCAACCTCCGGCTTCCACATGTTTACTTGCAACTGTACACACACACACACACTCACAGGCACATACTTCAACATCCATGCACATACCACAGATAGAGAAATTGATAGAATAACTGCTACTGTTTAGCTCTGTGGGCTTTAATATGCACACATGCAAACCTAACAATAATTACAATATTATTAGTAACTACAATTATTGAAAATATTAGCTGGCTCACACACTTTCTTACTCCTAACAAGGAATCGGAGAGAGATATCAATAGCCTCATTTTTCAGAAAATAAAGCAACATCTCATCAAGGTGGACTTGTCAGAAGTCACAGCTAACAAATGGAACAGTCCAAGCAGTCTTCTGACTGGATGACCGACCTGTTCAAATGCTAGCTGGCCTTGTCTCCTATGTCATGGGAATTTCTCTAACTTTTCAGTAAAGAAGTTGGGCCAGACAGCTTTATAAATCTCTCCTAGCTTTACTACTCCATTATTCAAGGTAGTTTTTTTTCTTTTTGAGTGTTTTTTATGCTGTGAAATGAAGTACTTTGTAATCAGAAAGGCTTCTGTGTATTTTAATATAAAAGGGCAGTACATTAAGCCTACCCATAAGCAAATAATGTCAACAAGCAAAATGGTCATTTCTGTTGCTACAGTGAAAAGGGGGTGCAGTAGGAATCAGGACTGGCCATGGAGTCAACAGCTCAGGTTCCAGCTCACTTTCTACCTCAGCTCTCCTGGCTGTGACCAGTATACCAAGCCTCGCCCAGGCCTCAATTTTGTTACCTCGGAATGAGACTCACACATGCCTGCTTGTCACAAGGGATTTGGAAATGGAAGAATGAGCCTGTCTAAGGGAAAACTTGTCTCGGGAATGTTCAAATAAGTCTGAGAATGAAGGGTGAATGTGACAAACACAGTGGGGGTGAGGACACATAGTAGGAAGCCTGGCTTCAGCTCCTGGGCTGATCAGCCCATGTGCCATGGGGGTGTCAGTAGCTTTTTTTGAAAAATGTAAGCACTAGTCTAGATTAGCATTTCTGAAGCTGTCAGTCATGACTAAATGTCCCTTTTAAATGCTGGAGAGACACACATTTGAAAATCACAGAGTATTCAGTCTCCAGATACCAGCATTAGCGTATCCAGAGATGTTCTACAGTAAAGAAACATACTTAGCTTTATTTAATTCATTTATCAAATGAAGAGGATATCTCCTGAGACACATTTGGGAAATTCAAGTTTAGACAGTATGGTTCTCTGAGGAACCATAAATAGATAGTGTTACGTTGATGGCAGGGATCATTTTTCTCATACTGTTCTGTTGCCATCCACTCCCATGGGGGTCGATTTACCTTCTTAAGTTAAAAGGCTTTAGCAGGCACGTGTGCGAGCACATGTGTTTCATCAGTAAGCACTGTGAACACCATTGTGCCTGCTGTTAGGATAGCATCTGTGCTGGATAGCTTTAGTGTCAACTTGACACACCTGGGTTGAGGGAGTCTCAATCGGGAAATTGCCTCTATTGGACTGGCCTGTGGCCATGTCTGAAGGGCATCTTCTTGATGAGTGATGTGGGAGGGCCCAGCCCACTGTGGGTGGTGCCACCCCTGGGCAGGTGGGCCTGTGTTGCATAAGAAAGCAGGCTGAGCAGGGGCCAAGGGAGCAAGCCAGTAAGCAGCGTTCCTCCATGGCCTGTGCTCCAGCTCCTGCCTCCAGGTTCCTGCCCTGAGTTCCTACCTTGGGCTCCCTGATGAACTGCGTGCGACCTGGGAGATGTAAGACAAATAAACCCTTTCCTCCCCAAGTTGGTACTGGTCAGAGTGTTTTGTCACAGCAATGAAGAACAAACTAAGACAGCATCCATGGACAGTGGAGTTAATATAGAAAATGTATTTCTTAAATTTCTATGTATCAAAGAAATCCTAACTCAGTGATTTTTTTTTTTTAGGAGTATCTTTATGAGACTGAAGGGAAGAGATGGCTTGATGGTTGAGAGGTGAGTGGCTAGCTGCTCTCCTCTCTTGTGATTTCCAGTTCCCATATCTGGCTGCTTACAACCACCTGTAACTCCGGCTCCTGGGATCCTATGCTGCCTTCTGGCCTCCAAGGGCCCCTGTACTCATAGGCACAGACCCACACAGATATGTCATTTTAAAGTAACAAATTTTAAAAATATTTTCATTTTTATGTGTATGAGTAGTATTGCCTCCATGTATACAAGTGCACGTTGTCATGCAATGCCCTTGGAGGTTAGAAGCGAGTGTTGGATTCCCCTCGAACTGGAGTTATAGATGGTTGTTAGCCTCCATGTTGGTACTGCGAATCAAACCCAGGTCCTCTGCAAAAACAGCCAGTGCTCTTAACTGCTCAACCATCTCTCCAGCTCCTTAAAATAATAACAATAAGTTTTTAAAAGGATTATTTTTGTTGCATTGAATCATTTATGGCCCAAATTCTGTCCAAAATGAAGATGGAAATCAAAATGAGTTGACAGGATTAGAGAAAATCTTATGGAATAAATGACTACTTTCCTAGATTATGAAAATGTGTTAAATCTCATTTAAAATCTGTTAAATCTGAATAGTATGGAACGAATGGGAATGGAAGCAGAGTTTGAAGGGCAGATGACTTCTTACAGTAGAGCCCAACAGCCACAGAAGCTACTGAGCAAAAGCATAGGGTGAGGGAAGAGAGTTGCAGGAAAGAGAGAAGTATGAAGAAGATCAGGAGGACACCTTGATGCAACTCAGCAAACGTAACTGTGTAGAGCTAGGTGTTGACATATAAGGGGAAATGCATTGCATTTCAAATAAGAAAAATTATATTTGTGCCCCAGTTCTTTCCATTAAAATTGTCTGCCCGTATAAATGTTAGATGACTAATTATTTAAAAATAGTTCTCTTCAGTTTTGGCAACCCTTTCCTTAGATACCCAGTTCCCTCTAGAGAGACAGTTACATCAATAATGTCATCTTTGTCTTTCCAAAACACCTTGTAAGCTTGGCACAATTAACATTTAAGTCTAGATAACTCTGTTGTGAGGACTGTTCTGTGCCTTGTATTTGGCACTATCCCCAACCTCTACTCACTTGATTACCAGAGAATCCCCAGAGTTATGGCAGCAAAAATATTCTAGACTTTCCCTGGTACCCCTGAGCAGACACATATTATGCTGATTGAAAAAATGCTATTCAAAGTCAGGTCTGATGGGCACAGACCTGTAATCTCAGCTACTAGTAGGCAAAGCATGACGATCTCAAGTTCAAGTCCTGCCTGGACTACAAAGTTGAAGAACAGCCTGGGCAACTTAGGGAGATCCTGTCTCAAAAATATAAAAATTATAAAAGATCTGGGTTAAGGCTTAGTGATAGAGTGCTTGCTTAGCATGTGGGAGGTTCTAGGCTAAATACCCAGTATCGCACATGCACAAAATAGAAGAAAAGGGGGTGAGGAGAGGAACGAAGAGAAAAACCACTGCTCCAGGAGTATTTTGTAAATTAAAAATCACTGTGCCAATAGTTGGAGTCAATGGCTTATAGGACCAGGCCTGTGTAATGGGAAGAAGACTTAAGTATATATCAAATAGGAAACTTTGGGTGCAGACATCACATCTTGAGGGTTAACTGGCTTGAGGAATATGTAAGCCTGTGGCTAACAGCCTCATCATCAACTCAGACTCATCCTGGGCATTCAGCCTGTCAGCCTTATCATAGGTCTAATTTCCTTCAAGGTTATAGGGTGTCTACTGGTGACCAGTATAGCTTGGTGATCCGTGTGTGCACCCAAAGCTAGAAAAACAGCCTAAGTAAAGAAGGTGGAGAAAGTTCCAGAAATCCTCTTTTCTTTCATTACTGGTTCAAACTGACAGCTCCTGACTCCACTCTTTCACTGATGAGATAAATGCACTGTGTAGACTGGAGTTGAACATCCCCAGACCAGTCTTCATGAGGAAAACCTAATCAGACTTGTGCAGAGTATAGTGAGTTTAGTGGGGATACCTTGCCCATTGAACCAGTCACCATTCAGATAGATTGTGCTTTGGTGATGAAAACACTAATTGGATCCAAGTTGGTTCATAAGAAAATAAAAATACCTGAAAAGAATTTTCTGAGCAAGAACATGGAGAAAAAAGTACATGAGGGTTTAATAAAACATATCCTTGGAGGAAAATGAATATTGATAAAGCTGTGGTTTGAAACCTTTAGTCTCTGTTCAAGACAGAAGTGAGCAAACCCCTATGTGAGTATATGATCTTGGATAAGTTATTTATCTCCCTGGACCACTTTTCTTATCTGTGTAATTGGAAAAATTAAAAGTTCTTATAATACTGGTGGGATGCCAAAATGAGACAGCGCATGCAGGAAACTGAGGTGCATAAGGGGCCGAGAAGACTTAATGCACAGTCACTGGTGATGAGACTGAGGACTCAATTTTAAGCTTGGAGAGATGAAAGGGCGTAGCAAATGGAAGGAGGAGATGGCCTTGAGAAGAGAGGGCCCAAGCAGGCCTCTGATCTTGCTGAAAGAGATTCTTGTTCATAGCCTCCTTAAAGACCATGAAAAACATCTCCAATATTGTTTCTCCAGGTAAATATCATAGCTCTGTAAAATTTGTTGATGTGTAGACATTACCAACTCAGATACCAAACAATTTAGATCATTTTTGTCAGCTTCTTATTCTCTTCCTTGTGGAACTAGGTAACATTCAATCATTTAAAATTCAAGAATGGAAAGGAAAATCAACCCAAATCTAGGGACTGGATCTGATGTTTTTCAAACACTTTAATAGTAGATGTTCATTTAAATATGTTGTCTTGCTCAAGATACGATATCAGCTTTGACCATAGATCAGTACCAAAGAAAGCATCTGTTCTATGGGATTCTTCCTTTAATAAGAGATGGAGTATTTCTATCAGCAAAGTAAGGTGAGCTTAGGTTGCCAGCCTGGATATAAATGTAGTGAATTTTACAGCCCTGGACTCTATAAACCTAACAGTGATATTCTGTTTAACATAGTTAGCCACTAATAATTATCATGTCATGAAACATACATTTCTTGAGCATCTATAAAACACCGAGCATGGGCATCACTTGGTGCCAATACAGGGAGTCTGAGGTCGGCTAAAGAAAAGGGACCTCAAAGGACTTGCACTTACTGGCCATGTGTTCTGTTCCAGTAAATGGGCAAGAGACTGCCTATGCCACATTGAAATATGTGTGTTATTCTATCCAGTTTACTTTGCTTTCTTGTTCCATGAGGCATTTTCACTATTAATTGTGGCATCATTTTTTTCCTGATTACTTGATCTTAGGTCCTTCATTTAGATGCTAAATATTCATCAAAAGCCTTTTAGACTCTTGGCTTTCTGTGTCATTTGCAGAAATCATAGTGCTGACAGACAATGGAACTAAAATTCTAGTTCATGTCCATCTAACTATGCTGTCTAAACCCTTTCTATTTAATGACCTTGCTTCAAAGGTGAACTGAAAAGTAGTTACTGCTACCAGGAGATCCAATATCATTGATGAACAAATCAGTATGTTGGGGAATCGAAATCATTGGTGAACAAAAATTGAATAGAGATAACCATTATCATCATGAGAACTATGCCTCAAATCATTGAATCCTATCACCAACCAGGTATAAGCCCATTCCATCTTCATAAGAAGCCCCATGAGTACCATTATTACACTGACTTCACAGATGTGGGAGGCAGAAAACATGGCTGAACTCTGATGCGCAGTCAGAGAGAGGTAAACCCTGGATCTCAGGAAGTCCTTCTTAGAGCTCGTATTCAGTGTACTATCTCCAACAGTTCACCACAAGCTTTCAAGTGGCACAGATTCCCTAAGAAAGATGTGGGAGATTGGTTCTAGGAACTTCTACAGGTACCAAAATCCTTAGAGACTAAAGTCCCTTATGTACATTGATACAGTGTCTACATATAATCTATGTATCCCTCAATATTCATGGTTTTTCTTTTTCCTTTTTAACAGTTTTAGAATTTCACACATGCATATAATGTGCTTTGGTCAAATCTACCCGTCTTCCCTCCGTTCCAGTTCCTCCCCTAGTCCCACCCCACTACTTTTCCCTCCAAAATTCATGTATTGTTTATTTGTTGTTTGTTTTAAACACATTGAGTCCACTTAGTGCTGCTTGTATGTACGTGGATAAAGGACCATCTACTGGAGCTTGGGTAGACATTCAGGGACAACATCCCTCATCTCCTCAGCAAGGGGTAGGATATCATGAGTACCACCTCCCATCCATGCTGGGATTTTGTCTGGAGTCATCTTGTACATATCTCATGCAGGCAATTGTAAGTGATCTTTAAGCCATTGCTATCCTGTACTGTCGTAAGAAATGATGAGAACATGTACGTGCTCATTCTCAATGTGACTTTTGAATATATTTTCTATCCATGGTTGGGTGAATCTGAGAATACAGACCTTGAAGGCATAGAGGACTGATAGCACAGATAAGGTTATTTCTTCTCTGAGGCAATGAGTAAAGCCTTGGAAGAGGAAGTGGGGTTTGATCCCCTGAGGGTGCAAGGAGATTTTGGTTGGGCAGAAATGGAGAAATGGGCTTTTCATGCTAAGTGATTTCCAGCAGTGAGGAGACAAGGAAAAGATGTGTGTGGGTGCCTGTATGGGGTCATCATGTGCTACATGCTGTGTGATGAACTCTAGGCTGGCTTTTCACCCTGTCTAGCCCCTGGTCTCACTTCTGCTGGTGCTGTGACATACCAGTGCTGTGGGAGAGCTGACTTTATGACCATTGATTTATCTTCACGTTCCCTCCATCTTCAGATACATTACCGAGTGCTCTGTTGCCACAGTCAGTGAAGGGAGGTTTATGACTCAATTTTATTCCTTGGCTTGTGCAGACAACTGGCTCCCATTGCAGAGGAGTCATGTGAAATAAAACATCATTATTAGGGACCCTCTCCTGGTGCTCTCTCTCTTGGCTGATGATTGCCTGTGATTTAAGTTTCAAGCTAGGACCTGCTTTGGGAACTTTTTTTCAGAGGTCAAATTTTAGTGATTAGAACTTTCAGAATTGATGGCATATAGCTTTTTAAATGAGATAGTGAAGGGCTCAGCGGGTGCTCTCTGCACGAAGATGATGATGGGATGGTCACTTTTTTCAAGAGGGTCAGCGTCTTCTATAGTATACATGTCTCTCTACTCCCTTGCTATCTTGTCCTTCCAGTATACGAACGTCCCATTCTTCATACCCAAACAGGAACCTATTACCAAATGTTTTCTAACCCTGTCTCCACAGTTACCCCATCAATTCTTTGTCTCTGTCAGTTCTTTAGCCTATCAGTTCTTAGCCCCATCCTTCCAACAACATAAACCCTTTCCTCATAGGGACTTTTACACTTACTATTCTTCCTACCTGAGAGGTTTTAAGATAAGTTACTCCCTCATATCATTCCTTCCCTTTATCCAAATCTCTGCCAGTGTGTGAATGGAAAAGTGCGGGTAATAAAATGACGAAAAGAGGAGGGAAACTATACGTGACGTTCCTTTCCTCCACGTTTGTTAGTTTGTCCTGTCATGGTGATGTCCATTCTAGTGAGAGCCCTCATGTCATGGTAGTCTCACATGGTTGCCCTCAGTTCTTCTTTTTCTTAGCCTTTTTGACTTATTTATTTTTATGTGTATAAGTGTTATGCCTTCATGTATGTAAGTGCACCCATGTTGCGCAGTTCCCGAGAAGGCCAGAAGAGGGCGGTGGATTCCCTGGAACTGGAATTAAGGACAGTTGTCAGGCACTTTGTGGTTGCTGGTTATTGAACCTGAGTCCTTTGCAAGAGTAGCCACTGCTTAACCACTGAGCCATCTCTTCAGTCCCTGCCCTCAGTTCTTGCTAGACATAAACACTGGTTCTTGGTCTAGTCCTCAAATGGATAGTACCAGGGAACTTATTCACGGGATGGTAACCTGTGATTTCAGAGCCATTTTGAGAGGGAAATCCCCGGTTCCTAACCTTCATCACCCATGTCTGCTCACATGCTTTTCTTCTGTCTTCACCAGCTTTCTCTTGTTCTTTAACGGATAGTACCAGGGAACTTATTCACGGGATGGTAACCTGTGATTTCAGAGCCGTTTTGAGAGGGAAATCCCAGGTTCCTAAACTTCATCACCCATGTCTGCTCACATATGCTTTTCTTCTGTCTTCACCAGCTTTCTCTTGTTCTTTAAAGGCTTGGCAAAGATGTCATCTCCACCACAAAGCCTCTCGTGACCAACCTGAATAAAGTGGTTCCTGTTTCTTTCCTCTCGTCCTCATCACTCACGTATGGGTTTTTTTTACTCGAAGGTATCAGCTCCCCACAGCCTGCCATTTCCCATAGGAGGGACTTCACGTATGGAGAGTCAACCCCACAGCCCCTGCCACACACACAAATGCATGTTCTCTCTAGGCCCCACTCTCCTGATAAGCTCAGGGTGAGGGCCTCTAGGGCAAGATGCACACAGGTTTTCTTTTGATGACTAAGTCAAGTAGACTGACTCAGTCTGCCTAGAATATTATAGAAGAGAAAGTGTGTAATTGTCTATGAACCCCACGGAGTGAATGGTGAGACAGGCTCCCTGGAAGCACAGCTCCAGGCACGGCGGGGCCTGGCAGTTCCATGACTTCTGTTTGCCATTTCTTCCGTAGCAGAATTAGCATCTCTATTTTCTTTTGATGACTAAGTCAAGTAGACTGACTCAGTCTGCCTAGAATATTATAGAAGAGAAAGTGTGTAATTGTCTATGAACCCCACGGAGTGAATGGTGAGACAGGCTCCCTGGAAGCACAGCTCCAGGCACGGCGGGGCCTGGCAGTTCCATGACTT